GTGAAAAGTTTTAGTGCTCACTCCCCCACCTCCCGTTTTGACTGTGGCCCCCCCCTATATATTGTTCTTGGAGTCGCCAAGAACAATATCTGTGTATCTGTGTATCTGTGTGTGTGGCGAAACCAACCTCGCCACTGGTCATTGGAGAAGCCTGTGTGCCCGCCTCCTGACTATGGCCCCTGGGAGATTTGGCCCTTTAAATACAGTATTTGGGCATATTGTATTTTATTATGCTGCTGCTGCCCCTTTAAAAACCATCTGGGGACATACTGTGACTTTTGGGAACAATGCCCCTTTAACACGGTGTCCCCAGTGTCCCCAGACTGTTAACATACGGTGTTCGTGGCTTTCTCCCACTTGGTTCAGTAAATGGGGCTAACTGAATCAGGTACCACACAGGCGGACCACCCAGAAGTGGAAGTGTGCAGGCAATTTACCTCCCAGGATGCTGTAGGTAAATTGCCGAACGCTGGGGGCTGCCATTCGACAAACGAACACGTGGCGGCGGCCATCTATTTTTATTCAATGCGGTCAGCGGTGTGTGTAGCCAAATTCATGGAACTGAAATTGGCTACACACTTCCACGAACACCGCTGAGCCTTACCTTCTCCCACAATGATTTTGCAGCCGCAGAGACTAAGTCCAGTTGCAGCCTGAATAGACCAACCGCACAGCCCAAATCTATGGAAGGGACCTCCAGCTAACTTTTTACCCCTGTATGGAATTGGCTGAATTTTGGATATGTTTATAATTAAAGTGTTTATAATTAAAGTGTGCTGAGTTCGAATATGTAATTTATGTTTGTGGCATGTATATTTTTGAAGTTATTAATATTTTGTAAAAACTGTATTTCTCTGCTTGTGATAATTATATTAACCATTGTGTTCAGTAATCATATCACAGGCAGAGGGGAGGATTTTGTGTGGGAGTGTCTGTGTGTATTGTACGGATTGATTGGTTGTATTTCAAAACCCTGTGGGCAGTACTGTGTTTGTGGATTGTGAATAAAAAAGGCTGTATGTGCCAGTACAGTCAGTTCTACTTCACCCTTAATCTGAAATCTGAGTCCTGTCTCTTATTTGGGGAATCTGCTACAAGGGATTGCTATGCTCTGCATATTCCCTTGCGATAATCACTGAGTTCTTGTAAGAGCTTGTTCCTGTCTTGCTCTCTGGAGGAGTCAACGGTGGTTATGGTGTCGGCTGAAGTGCTTGGAGCACTCAGGAAGCACTAGGAGCATCCGTCGATCTGTTACAGTGTGTGACTGTGTTTATGTGTATCTGCCTGGGTGTATCTCTATCTGCATGCATGTGTGTATGTGTATATGCGCATACATCTCAAACTCTCGCCAACACTACACACAAATACACTCATGCATTTTAGCATCAACACTACATACAGACCCCACCACTATATATAACCATAGCACTGCATTCAAATACCACACAACACACAAATGCATGTGTGCATTCAAACGCCAACGCATACACACCCCTACATTCACTCACACATACTCCATACAAAAATATGCTTACATTCAAACACACAAACACTTATCAGTGCTAAATACATTTAAAAAAAAAAGGTTGTTTTTTTACATTTAAAGTGTGTGGGGGAGGGGGGGGGGGTGGGGTGCCAAAAATAGGACCCACCCCGGCTGCCAAATGCTCTAGGTATGGCCCTGATGATAGGTTTGTGTTTCTGTAGTGTGAGTGTTTGTGCGGAGCAGATTCCATCACTGTGTGTATAAGTTGCGTTGTCTATCTTTGGGAGGTACTGTGTCTCTAGGGGAAGCACTGTGTTTTTGCTGGGGATGCAGTGTGAGTAAGGAATGTATTGTGTCTGCTGATGGTGCAGTGTGTGTTGGAGATGTAGAATGGGATACAGGATGTAGTGTGTGTAGGGAATGTTTTGTGTGTGTGCAAATAATGTATTGTGTGTGTTCTGGTGATGTGTCTAGGCAATGCAGTGTTGTGTGAGTGCTTTTGGATACAGTGTGTTTGTGCTGAGGATGTAGTTTGTATGTTTGTTCTGGAGATGCAGTGTGTATGAGTGCAGTGTGTCTTTGAGTGTGCTGGGGATGCACTGTGACTCTGTGTGTGTGCTGGGGTGCCTGTGTGGGTACTGTGGATGCAGTCTGTATATGTGTGTGTGTTTTGGGAATTAAGTGTTTTTTGTGTGTGTGTGCTGGGGATGACCTGTGTGTCGATGATCCAGTTTGCCTGTATGGGCACTGAGTATGCAATGTGTGTCTGTGTGTGCTGGTAATGAAGTGTGTGTTTGTGTGTGCTGGGGATGCAGTGTGTCTGTGTGTGCTGGGGATACAGTGTGTGTCTGTGTGTACTGGGGATGAAGTGCGCGTCTGTGTGTGTGCTGGGATGCAATGTGTCTGTGGATGCTGGGATGAAATGTGTGTCTGTGTGTGTGCTGAGGATGAAGTGTGTATCTGTGTGTGCTGTAGATCCAGTGTGTTTGTGTTTGTGCTGGGGATGAAATGTTTCTGTGGTTGAAGTGTATGTCTATGAGTGTGCTGGGGATGTAGTCTGTCTGTGTGTGTGCTGGGGATGCTGTGTGTCTGAGTTGAAGATGAGTGTGTTTCTGTGTGTGCTGGAGATTCAGTGTGTTTGTGTGTGGTAGGGATGAAATGTGTCTGTGCGTGCAAGGGGTGGAGTGTGTCTGTATGTGTGCTGGGGATGAAGTGTGTGTGCTGGAGTGATATGTGTCTGTGTGTGCTGGGGATGCAGTGTGTGTGCTGTGGATGAAGCGTGTGTCTGTGTGTGCTGGAGATCCAGTGTGTTTGTGTGTGTGCTGGGGGTGAAAAATGGCTGCCAATTGTTTAAACACGTGCGAACGGTTTTACGGACAGCGGCCACACAGGGAAACACTTGAACTAATAACCAATTTGTGGCTAACAGGCAGGGGTGGTCGGTGAATAAAAGGTGAAAACAAGAGGCCACACAGAGAGGGGGTTCGGTAAACGAACAGGGGTGTACGGACAGCTGAACAAAGGGAATAAAAGTGTATTTGGATTCTCCATTCCGCTGCACAGTAAAACTGTAAAGGAGCTTCTGTACTCCAGCTGAATACCTCTTTTAAATTTGCTTCCTAGCTGCAATCAGGGACTTGGAGCACTTCAGAACGAGTTGCCACAGCTTGACTGGGGTCTTTGTGCAGCTCTGCCACCCTTTACCCGCCTGCAATTGTTATAGCTCTCTTCAGTGCTTATAGCTCTTGTCAGCAGTCATACCTCTCTGCAGAGATTATAGCTTTCGAGACTATTTCTCCTGCAAAGCAGTGATTACAGTTTTCCCACACACTAGCCAAGACTGATTGAAGGGCAGTAATGATCAGCTTTATTAAACACACAGCTCTTTATGCACAGAAATGTGGATTTACACACCAGGGGGTCCTACATGCAATGCAATGGCTTTTACAAGAGTCCTACCCCAGTGCCACTCTGTCTGGGGTCTTGGGTGCAAAATCCCCAGTTAACCAGATAGACTTCCTGCTATGCCTCCCAAACAAATAGCCAAAAAAATTTAAAATGTCCCCCCCAAAATATTTTCATGGAGAGCACCCCAACACATTATATATCATTGGATAACTCTCCTCCGAGCACCCATACTGTCAAAATAGCGACCTGATCAGAGAATCCACGCCCGAGTTATAGCATGTTAAAGAAACATATTTAAAACATAAAGAAACATAAAGAAACATATTTTCTGACCCAACTTAGAGTTCCAGGGATGCAGTTGGTTTTCCCCGGTCTTACAAAAAGAGGTTCTTGGGGCCCCGGGAAGGCTGGCATCCACACGTTATATCCCTAAATAGCTCTCGCTGGTGCGCCCATGCTGGCAAAATAGTGATGTAATTGGTGGTCAGAAGATTGAGAGATACCTGAAAAAACATTTACAGGGTCACAGCACAGTTCCTATCTGGCAAACCGTTCCAGAGCTTTTCAGGGTATCTCCCAGTCAGGTGCTCAATGCATAAAATGAGTCCAGGCAATCCCGAGAGGTCAATTTAGCTGGGAGGCAGAATAAGCATCCATGAAGTCTCCATGCCCCTTTTCAAAGTGAAATAGCCCTTTTTAGTCCATGGTTAAATTGTTTTCTGTGACAAAAACCTTCTACACTGAACAAAATTATAAACGCAACACTTTTGTTTTTACTCCCATTTTTCATAAGCTGAACTCAAAGAACTGATACTTCTATGTACACAAAAGGCCTATTTCTCTCAAATATTGTTCACAAACCTGTCTAAATCTGTGTTAGTGAGCACTTTTCCTTTGCTGAGATAATCCACCTCACAGGTGTGGCATATCAAGATGCTGATTAGACAGCATGATTATTGCACAGGTGTGCCTTAGGCTGGCCACAATAAAAGAACACTCTAAAATGTGCAGTTTTACTGTATTGGAGAGATTAGGGGAGACTGG